GTGCTAAAACATATTTAGGCCTCTCCAGAAGGGGAGTAGAGGGAGAAGGAGCAGAAACAAGATGAAAAAAAATAATGAATGTTAAATGTATAGAACTGATTAAAGAACCAATCCAAATATTGAAGAACCCAACTCCAAAAATCCCAGGCAAGATAATAAAAGTCTAATCCTAATCACAACACAGTGAAAGTGGCAGAACAACAGATAATAGAACGCTCTCAAAAATAACAATTAGACTGACAGATGACTTCGCAACAGCAACAATGGAAGCCAGGAGTAAGTTGAACATTTGTTTTCATTAAGCAGAGAGAATTGTCAAGCTGGAATTCTATACACAGGAAGCATATTTTTAAGAATGAGTAAAAAGTAAGGATATTTGAGAGAAATAAGAATTGAGAGAAAGGTCATTACTAAGACTATACCTTGGGGTAAGGAAATAACCCTAATTACAAGATCTGAAAGATAAAAAGAAATAAAGAGCAAAGTTAGCCAAGAATGTGAGTAAATATAAATAAACACTGATTATTTGTAAACAAAAATAAAGCCTTGTGGTTTTAATAAGTGGAATTAAGATATACAAAAAGGACAATATAAGTTGGGAGTGGGGATTGAAATTCAAGTTTTCTAAGGTCCTTGTTTAATTGGAACAAAAGATAATTTTATTAACTTTAGAGTTTAAGACAAACATGCATTTGTTTAAATTTTAAAATTTAAATCTTAAATTTTAAAGAAATTTTAAGATCTTAAAATTTAAACAATTTAAATTTAAAAAAATTTAAATTTCTTTAAATTTTAAGATCTTAAAATTTCTAGAACAAGTAGAAATAGAGCATATAACTTCCAAACTATTAGAGGAGAAAAAATGGCAAGGGAACTGTCTGACGGTCTTGAGCCCAGCCAGCTATGCAGCAGAAGTGTTATTTCATCACAAAGAATATAAAAAAGATGTGTATTCAGGATTAGAGATATTAATAAAGTTCATTTCACTGCTTCATCAATTCCATTCTTAAGTAAAACAGACATTGTTTTATTTATTTTTATTTTGTGGGGTGAGGGGAAGAGGAAGAGGGAGAGAAAGAATCCCAAGCAGACTCCCCACTGAGCACAGAGCCTCATGACCCCAAGATCATAACCCCAGCTGAAATCAAGAGTCAGATGCCCAACCGACTGAGCCACTCACGTCCCCTCACTGTTTTATGCTACAAGTACATGGAAGTGAAGAACTCAAATGACTATAAGTATAGTTTAGTCTCACTGCTTGTATTTGTGCTAACGTTCCAACAGTCTTATCCTCTATATGTTTTGCATCATCATTAAACGTGAACACATTAAAAAGTTGAAATAACTTCTTACTATCATCATCAAGAGTTTGACCATTCAGATCCTCTGAAAGAGTCTTGGAGATATTTAGGGGTCTGTAAACCACACTTGAGAACCGTGGACTTAGATCAATCTGAATTTACATTGAGCTTGAGATGGGAATGACCTTTATTTTAGCCACATGAGAGCTGAAGATATATGAACAAAACTGAAATTCTATTAGCAAGGAGGAAAGGGTAAATGGATATCGAGGCAACTTACAGGGTGTGCTATAGCAATGTAGGAGTTAACAAAGTTGACTTATGATAATGTTAAATACAAAATAATAATGCAGCCATCAAAAAAACTGAAATCTTGCCATTTGCAATGACGTGGATGGAACTAGAGGGTATTATGCTAAGCAAAATAAGTCAATTAGAGAAAGACAAATATCATATGATCTCGCTGATATGAGGAATTCTTAATCTCAGGAAACAAACTGAGGGTTGCTGGAGTGGTGGGGGGTTGGGAAGGATGGGGTGGCTGGGCGATAGACATTGGGGAGGGTATGTGCTATGGTGAGCGCTGTGAATTGTGTAAGACTGATGAATCACAGACCTATACCTCTGAAACAAATAATATATGTTAAAAAAAAAAAAAAGAAGATAGTAGGAAGGGAAAAATGAAGGGGGGGAAATCAGAGGGGGAGACGAACCATGAGAGACTATGGACTCTGAGAAACAAACTGAGGGTTCTAGAGGAGAGTGGGGTAGGGCGATGGGTTAGTCCAGTGATGGGTATTAAGGAGGGCACGTATTGAATGGAGCACTGGGTGTTATATGCAAACAATGAATCATGGAACACTACATCAAAAACTAATGATGTAATGTATGGTGACTAACATAATAAAATAAAATTTAAAAAAATAACAATAATAAATTGCATAATAATCAGAGTATTCCCAAAATTGAAATAATGTTCAATGTTGTAGGAAGAGCAATTAAAAAAAATCAATCAAATTAATTACTAGTGTCCAGAAGCTCCACAAATCAGAAACATCTTGAAGATAACAGGGATCATAACTCAATCTTATATAGCCCTGCCTAGCAGAGTGCCTGACACATTAAGTTTGTTGAATAAATGAATGAATGAGTAAATGTGGATTAAGTTTTTTAAATAAATGAGTGAATGAGTAAATGAATGAACAGATTAATAAATTAAAAGAATGAAGAGAATATCCATAAATGCTGAGCATGAATATCAGTAGCAAATAGAATGATGTTCCAAAAGTGATGATATGAAAGAAGAAGCAAAGAAAAAGAGGAGCTAAAAAAGAAAATTCTGAGGGAGTATCTACATAGAATTTAAGCTGTGAATTGACTGTATTCTTCAACTTCAAATTTGTGTAACAGTTGGTTAATTCCAGCATAACTTCTATAGGGATTAACTGTGACATCTAAGAATGAACTGGAACATGAATGGTTATATGGGCTGAGATAGTTCATAAATCTCTGAATTAGTAACTCTAAGTTTTCATAACAGCCAAAAGAAAATTCCATTATTTAATCTGAAATTGAAACAAGATAAAAAAAATCTATTGATTCATACAAATTAATCATAGCAATTCACATTCTCTTGAATCTTCTGTCAACTACTAGTGTATAATAGAAACAAAAAAACTACTTTCACAATAATTTTCAAGGTTGATACTCACTGACTTACCCTTTTGAGAAGTAATAAAAGTCATATATACTTTAAAAACATAGATTCTGAAACTGGATGACCTGAGTTCAAATTCCAAATTTGCTCCTTCCTGAAAGTGTGATCTAGAGCAAACTAATAAACTCCATGCCTTAGTTTCCTGAAGAATAATATGTTCCTAAAGCCTTTTCTGATTTCCCTTCATCATATAAAATCTATTCCCCAACTTTTGGCTCCCTAACACTGTATTTGTATCCCTCTTATAGAACTTTTCTACCTTGTAATTCAGTCTTTTTTATTCTAATCTAATTCATGCTAATGAGTCTGCAAGTTTTCTGGACATAGTGCTTGTGTTTTACTCATTTCTGTAGTCTTTAAAGAGCAGAGCACTAAACCTGGCACATAGAAGCACTCATGTATTTTTTTCATATAAATTAAAAGGGATAATGAAAATCAAGGAATATTAATTGAGGGCCTACTATATACTAGGCACTTGTACACCTAAGTGCTTTCACACACGTTATTTCATTTTACCTCCAAACATTCCTTCCAGATAGCTATTATTGTCTGCATTTTACAGTCTAGAGAATTCAGAGGAAGAAAGGTTAAACTAACTAAATAAATAAATCTCTTTCCTCCAAGGAATTTACATATATAGTGGGAGGTAGGGGAGGTACACTATGTATATTAATAAAAACAAATGCAATACTGTTTATATGTAATAAGTGATTCAAATGAGTACAAGAGAAAGATTATTTTTAATGTGGGTAATTTGAGATTTTATGGGTGAGAACACACCTAAGCTGGACTAAGAGTAAAGAATATTATCAGTAGATGGAGATAGTCAAAAAACATTATAACAAGCTAAGAGTTTCACTTCTGACAATTCCTTTTCTAGTCTTTTTGGGATAGGCTCAGAGACACTATTCCCCAGTTAAATGCTAGAAGACTATATTTAAAGTTTTACAAAAGAAGCCAGTGAAAATATAGAATTGGAAAAAATTTATAACAAGCTTTGTATTCATAAAATAATATATAATCTTTAATAATAATGGTTAATATTTAGTGAGTGCTCATTAGGTGCCAGGAGTCTTGTATGAAGTGCTTCCCAAAGAGCCATACACCTCTTATTAAGAATCATGTGACTGTTAGTGACCAAGGCAAGGGTCAGCTTTAGATTCATCTGACTCCAAAGCCAGCTCACAATGCTATGTGTACAACTATTTTAAGCTAAGGGACATTGGCAGATTTGTGTTCAGTCCAAAAAAGAAATCTCAATTAAAGCATATTAAGTTTTCCCTGGGTGGCTCAGTCAGTTAAGCGTCTGCCTTCAGCTCAGGTCACGATCTCAGGGTCCTGGGATCGGGCTCTATGTCAGGCTCCCTGCTTATCAGAGAGTCTGCTTCTTACTCTGCCTATCTGCCCCCCCACACTCATGCTCTCTCTCTTAAGTAAATAAAAATATAAAAATTTTTAAAAAATGTTTTAAAAGCATATTAAGTTTTCAAGTTATATAAGACTTACAGCATTCAACGCTATTTGAAAACTGAAATACACAAGTAGTTATCACAGAAGGTAATCAAAAAACCCATTTTCTTCTTGATCCATAGTTGACCCTGACCATTGTACTTATATCACTCCCACCTAAAGGAAGTCTTTGACCCTAATTCATTGCCACTCCCACTCCAGTTCCTTCATTTGTTTTATGTTTTGTTTTGTTTTTTAAACACACCTTTTTCAACTGCTCTTTCCTGGTGCTTTTTATTTCAGTTCCTCATCCTTCCATAAAGTGCTTTTCTATGAAAAGATCCCAGGACTGGACAATCTCTTGATGATGATGATGATGACCATGACTAACCACCATGATGAGGATGACAACTACACAATCTAAAGAATTACTCAACTCAATGAGTACTTAAGACCTCAACTGTCTTAGAAAGTATGATAAATATGTTCAGCATAATCCCTATTGCTATTTAACAACTTAAATCTTTAGGATAATGAGGTGAGATAAGGAAGTTCATCAAAATATTTTAGTAATTCATAATGTTATATTTATGCAAATATTTTGATCTAGATTCAAATTCCTGAGTTAAGGAGATACATAAATACTCTCCTTGCATTTCCACAGGTTTATTGTAATGTACAATAATGGTGCTCAATCTGTATGTTATTATGTTCCTAGCTCTACATCTCTTGCTGGAGTGAAAAGCTCAATGGTAAATTTGAATAACAATGGATATGATGGCATTGTCATTGCAATTAACCCTAGGGTACAAGAAGATGAAAAACTCATTCAAAACATAGAGGTAAGAGAGAAAATTTTATTACACACTTATTTTTATTCCAATAAATATTTTCCATCCATGTTGCCAAAGCACATACATATGCTCTCACAGAGTTACAACTTTCCAAAACTGCTTTGACAATATTTATCATTTATGTAATATGTATCTAAATTGTCAAGATTAACATCTGCTTAGTTTAACTATGATTTCTCATATATTAATAGTATTAGTCATTCCCCTAATAAATTATTAAAAGGCCAAACTACAGTATTTCTTCAACTTACTAAGCTAACAGAAAGACCTTAGACCTACTGGAGAATTCTTTTAAAATTTTACTTTTGTAAAGTTATTTTTATAATGTTTAAATAGCTATCCTAAGCCCTAGATCTTCATTATACATTTTTGAAGTTGTTCATACTTGTTCAACTCTGAAAAATTAACAAACTCTGATGTATTTGATTTTAAAGAAAATACTGCATATTTTTGAAGTTGATTTACTTCTTAATTTTATTTGGGTTAGTCAGTATAATAAAAACACTTTATATATAGCATTTTAATATATACTATCTTCTTTGATCCTCTCAATATCCCTGTGAGGTAAATTATTACCCTTGTTGCATAAATGAGAGAAGCTAATGATTCGTACAGTCTTAAAATAACTGGTAAAACTGGAATGTGAAGCCAATGAGACCTATATATTTTTATTTTCCTTACTGCTTGGTAAAACTTTGACTTTTATGAACACACTCCATATGAAAAAGTAACTCAAATCTAGCAAAGTGGTTTTTTTTAATTAAAAAGTATAAAATCTACAAAACTTTAAACTCTCAACCCAATTATCAACACCTTTAATTAAATAAGCAACTTGCCAACAAGCTCCCAGTCTTAATCACCTTTATATCTCACCCAGAACTCATTCCCCTCTCCAATCCATAAGACTGAATGCAGGTCTGGATAGGTAAAAAATAGAGTTGATTTCTGGGCATGTGAAAATGAAAAGTTTACAGACTAAAGAGATAGAGTAAAATTCAACTTACTTTTCAGTTAGGCTTTGCCAAAATATTTGGGGAAAGGGAGCTTAGATTTGCTTTTTCTTGTTCGTATATACACTTTCATGATCATTTCATTATGAAATTGTTACCATATTTTGTCAGGAAATGGTAACTGAAGCTTCAACTTACCTATTTCATGCCACCAAACGAAGAGTTTATTTCAGGAATATAAGCTTTTTTTTTTTAAGATTTCATTTACTTATTTGACAGAGAGAGACACAGTGAGAGAAGGAACACAAGCAGGGGGAGTGGGAGAGGGAGAAGCAGGCTTCCCGCCAAGCAGGGAGCCTGATGAGGGACTCGATCCCAGGACCCCGGGATCATGACCTGAGCAGAAGGCAGACGCTTAATGACTGAGCCACCCAGGTGCCCAGGAATGTAAGCATTTTAATTCCAATGACCTGGAAGTCAAAATCTGAGTACTTGATGCCAAAACAAGAATCATATGACCAGGTAGGGTATTTTATCTAGCACCTACACTTCTTTTTTCCTGTGCTTCCTAAAAATTAATACTCATTTTTTAGCAATTCCTAGCCACTGCTTTAGTAATTAATTTAGTAATATTACTTGTCTTAATTTAGATAAAAGAAATCCTTGTTTCTATCACTCTTGTGATGTTTTTGTTTATTCTTCTGCTTTTTAGGCAGATGTCATAGTTGCCAATCCTTACCTAAAATATGGAGATGATCCCTATACGCTTCAATATGGACAATTGGGGAAAAAGGACAATATATACATTTTACTCCAAACTTCTTGTTGACTAATAATTTGCCTATCTATTGGTCCCGAGGTAGGGATATCTATTTTATACTTCCATTTTTTTTTCCATTGGAAACAAATATGACACTGTGATTAATGGTATTTTTAAAGATTTTTTAAAAAAAGAAATAAGTACTGATTAACATCTTTATCTAGAAATATAGTAGTTATTTCAACAAAATTATATTTCTTTGTGTGTGTTTAATAAAAAATAAGAACAACAAATTGAAAAAATAAGTAATAAATACTAACCCATTTCAACATTTTTGACCTAATGAAAGGTATCAATTTCTAAAGTTCTTTGACTCAGTTAAGCTAAGGATCTGGGGCAGGGAAACATAAAATACATGGACACTGTATTAAAATATTGTAAATATAAAATTATAAGTGGCAATATTCTCTCATAGGCAGAGTGCTTGTCCATGAGTGGGCCCGCCTCCAATGGGGAATGTTTGATGAGTATAATGTGGACTGGCCATTCTATATTTCCAGACAGAACACTATTGAAGCAACAAGGTATCATTTATTGAACAAATATGTTTTCAAAACTTTTCACTTATTATTTTTTAATTTCCAAACTAGGCAAAAAAAAATTATCTCAGTGGTTGAATGCTCATACAGTTAATTGCAATATCCAACCTGCCCCACTATGTATATGTCCAAATATTTCTGGGGATTCTACCTTGGAATCAAGATCAATCAGGAATTGGGATTCATTTCGGTATTCATGGGGACTGTACTAAAATATGTTATTGTCAGAGGAAAAAGGAAAAAGCTGTAGCCTAAACCTTAAGATATCTGAGAACTGCAGTTCAAGTTCCTATCATATCCTTTATTTCATTTTATTTATTTATTTTCCTTTATTCCATTTGATTCATAACTCTTTTTTTCTCTCTTAGTCACCATTCATTACAACATCAGTTTTTGATGTAGTGTTCCATGATTCATTGTTTGCGTATAACACCCAGTGCTCCATTCAATACGTGCCCTCGTTAATACCCATCACCAGACTAACCCATCCTCCCACCCCCCGCCCCTCTAAAACCCTCAGTTTGTTTCTCAGAGTCCATGGTCTCTCATGGTTCGTCTACCCCTCCGATTTCCCCCCCTTCATTTTTCCCTTCCTACTATCTTTTTTTTTTTTGACATATAATGTATTATTTGTTTCAGAGGTATAGGTCTGTGATTCATCAGTCTTACACAATTCACAATGCTCACCATAGCACATACCCTCCCCAATGTCTATTGATTCATAACTCTTTAAGGTGAATCTGTTTCATTGAAACCAGTTAAACTACTAGAGCTTCATGTTAAATATATTTTATTCTTCATTGTATCTTGAGCTTTAAAAAGTATTTTTCATAAGGATAAGTGAGTACATGATTTTTTGAAATATAAATATTTTATTATTATATTCCTTAAATATAAATATAATTCTGGGTGGATTTAGACAGGTCCTACTATTAAACAGATGAGATATTTAAATATGGAGTATTTAAAGAGTATTAAAGAACAATAGAAATCAATGTAATTGGAAACAAGTCTTTGGAATAAAAAACATATTAGAGAAAAGAGCTGTGAGAGAAACATGCCTTTCCCCATGTCTTTCATGTTGTTTGCTTTATCCCTACTGAGCTGCATGGAGTCTCATGCAGATAGGGTTCTCACCTCATGCAACTCCTACCTGCACCACCTCCCTTATCCAAACAATGCTTGTTCATTCTTCCAGACTCAGTTTAAACGTTTGTTCCCCAAGTGTCCTTTTCCTCTCCCTCCATTTGGTGTTAAATGTGAGAATGTCCCCAAAGCAATACACAGGGCCTTCTCTCACACGGAGCAGTAGTGGTCTATGTAATTTTATTTTCCACTCTAGACTTTAAGATCCTCAAAGACTGACTTTTTTTTTTTATTCTCCTAGACTTGGGCCTGGCGCGGAGTAAAGTAACAACAAACAATGTATCAAATAACAAATTTTTGATAAATCAATGGAAAATGAATGTTTTCTTACCAGCCATAAAAAGAGATATATTAGTAAAAACAATTATCTAAAATAACGTTTAACGAACCCCTACTGTGTGCCAGGCACTTTGTCTGAGGCAGTGTAAGTTTCATTTTCAGGCTTACCCCAGAGCTAATCCTCTTGGAATATATGACTCACCATATCCTTTAATCCTTGCAATACAAAAAAGTTTATCTAAGTGGATTAATATCCTGACACTTGATATTAATGCAGAATAAAAGTAAATCCTACAGATAAATAGGAACCCTTTAGAATCTTTTACCCATACTCTACCCGCCCCCCCATTCCTTGCCTGGGACTTGACAATTATCTTACTTATCATAAAGACTGAACAGTTTGTTTGAATGCACAGGCATTTCATGCAATGTTTATTTTTTTGTTCTTCAATCTAGCTCAGTGGTTTTCAAAATGTAAATTGCAAAATGCTATAAACACAAAACCACACATGGTTTTGTATGTATGGTACACATGCATATGTGTATATATGTTTATAACTATAAGCAATATGTGTGTATGTGTTTATATCACATACATAGAAATTTAAGAGGGTTTTTATCATGATGTTGACTCTCTCATCCCCACTAGGAAGCAACTCCTCTGTATCTTTTAACTCATTTCATCTTTACAACATCCCTATAGCTTAGGAATTATCTTTAGTTCAAGGTCACAGGGATAATAAATTTATTGATTACATTAGTGGGCAATTAATGTTAATAACTATAAACTGGCATGATTGTTCTTACTGACATCAATTGTAAATAGAGGCAGGACACTGTGACTACTTCTGGCAAAATGAAATGTTTGTCCATGATCTGTAGCAATTATCGTTAAGGGAAAGATTGTAGATACTAGTCTTTTCTCATGATTTCTGGTCTTCATATATAAATGTAATTTAATTCTTTCATCATAGATGTTCAACTCATATTACTGGCATTAATGTGGTTTTCAAGGAATGTCAGGGAAGCAGCTGTAGAACAAGGCCATGCAGGCGTGACTCACAGACAGGGCTGTATGAAGCAAAGTGTACATTTATCCCAGAAAAATCCCAGACTGCAAGGGACTCCATAATGTTTACGCAAAGTCTCGATTCTGTAAGTACCTTCTTTTTCTAGTTTCACAAAGGAAGACTTCAGGAAAAATTAATTAGGGAAGCTGTATTTTCTACTATGAAATTATGTATACCAAAAGAAACGAAGGAGATTACTCAGACAATTAACTAAAGACCATTTTTTCCAGCCTGTGTCAGGGTGCGTCTGGAAATTATTCCACTTTTTCTATAAACCGGTTTCTTTTCTTCAGAAGTAGAACTGTACCCTTTTCACTGATGTCATAATTTCTTACAACATCCCTTCCCTCATTTGACTTCTGTGGATTTGTGTAGTTCTAAAACTACAACCTTACTTTTAATTCTCTCTTCTAAGTGTTAGTCATACTACTTTTCCAAAGTAATTCTTTCTATAGCTTTGGAAAAGTACTGACACTCTAGATTTTCTAATTCCTTTACACTAAAGTACATCAAGCTATTGCAAAGTGATACTGTGCAAACATACATGGCTCTGTTTCTACATAACAAACTTAAGGGAAAAGTTCACAATTACCAGTCTGATCAGTTATAAAATAATAACACAATAATTCAAGTTTTAAAGCTAATGTTTGACCTGAAATATCTGGTTTCAACATATAAATTTGAGTGGATAAGAACAGGTGCCTTGGAATCAGAAAGACTTGATATCAAAGCCCAGTCTGTCATTTTCAAACTGTGTCATTACAAGCAAACTGCTAAATCTGAGATTTAGTTCTCTCGTCTCATAAACGGGAATTATAATACTTCACAGGTTATTGTTATTAGGTTCACAAGAGGTAGAATGAATAAAGCATGACCACAGTGCTTAGCACAAAGTGAGTATAAAATAAACTTTAGGGGCGCCTGGGTGGCTCAGCTGGTTAAGCGACTGCTTTCGGCTCAGGTCATGATCCTGGAGTCCCAGGATCGAGCCCCACATCGGGCTCCCCGCTCAGCAGGGAGTCTGCTTCTCCCTCTGACCCTCCCCCCTCTCATGTTCTCTCTCTAATTCTCTCTCTCTCTCAAATAAATAAATATTTTTTAAAAATAAAATAAAATAAACTTTAAAATTTTAGTTTTTAAAATTTATAAAATATTTGGATAATAGTCAATTGTCTCTTTCCCCGGATAAGTCCAATCTTAATTAATGTAAACATATTGTAGTTACCTAATGAAAGTTTCTAAGCATGTAAAAAAGATTTTTAAATATGAAAGTTATCAAAAACAAACCGAAATAAAGTATACTACCTCTAGATAGTAAGACTAACTTATTTAAAAGAAGCAATATTCCATATACCAAATCACTAGCAACAATACTTCTTTGGGTAGAGGTTTGTAAAGGCTTATTATTTCCAATAAAATTTAAAATTGTTTTAGAGCCCAGGGCATTAATGATGAAGAACTTGAATCAAAATATAGACTTAATATTTGCTAAAACTCTTAAAAGAACCTAATTAGATATTTAAGTAGAAGTTATTTTCTAGTCTAAAAATGGTCCCTTCTAGAAATAGTTGAAATACGAGTCAAGAAAGTTCACTTTAACCTGCTGAATCTGGATCAGAATTCAGCATCCAAGTAGGTATCAGATCATGTGATACAAGAGGATAATTGGAATATGTACTGTCTATACCAAGCTATAAATCCCAAAAGCATCTGTCAGGAAATAACTCATGCTGCCTACCTGAGAGACAAATAATAATGAAGAAGATCATATAGCTGAAATATGGATGGAACTAATTATATAAGCCATGTCTCAGAGATAAATACTGAACATCTTATCCAAAATAACACTAACTTCTAATTATCATAGCACAGATTAAATAAATTGCATAGCATCTGTACCCAGGGCATCAGCTTACCCAAGAGAGATATGACCTGAAATACCAAATGTTTAATTCCATGATTTCCTTCCCTTCAACTTCATTATTTCCACTTCATGCCCAGCACTGTGTTAGGAGCTGGAAATACAGAAATAATTAAAGATAACTGTTCTTGAGACTCAGTTTAGTGAGAAAGGTAGAGAAATAAGAAAAAATATATATGAATACAAAGTACAAAGTGATATAAACCAAGTGCTAGGGAAGTACAGCAAACATCTCCACCTGGAGGTCAGAAAATTGTTTCTAGGGGCGCCTGGGTGGCTCGGATGGTTGGGCGTCTGCCTTCGGCTCCGGTCATGATCTCGGGGTCCTGGGATTGAGCCCCGCGTCGGGCTCCTTGCTTAGCAGGGAGCCTGCTTCTCCCTCTGCCTGCCGCTCCCCCTGCTTGTACTCTCTCTCTCTTTATCTCTGGCAAATAAATAAATAAAATCTTTTAAAAAAAAAGAAAATTTTTCTGAAGAGATGAAAAAAATTGTATTTGAAAAGGAATGGGTATGAACTTGCCAAAGCAGGAATAGGAAGGGCAATTTTAAGTAAAAACAAACAAAAAAAAAAAACAGTTTATAAAAGCAAAGAGTAGGGAAAAGTGCAGGAATGCCATGCATGGTTGTACAAGTTGAGCACTGCCCAAATTATCTGCATCATGGTCACTAAAAATTTTATTATTTATTAGAACAATTTTCAGGTAAATAGCAGTAAAAAAAAAGAAGAAGAAAACTTGAGAACAGGTCACCTTTTTCTAATTTGCCCAAGGTTTCCTGTCTCTTCTCCCATTTGGGTTAGCAAAGACCCTTGTGAAGATTTCTAGCATATTCTAAGAACAGGAAAAAACTCAGTGTGGTGTAAGCAGAGGATGGTGAAAGCAAGGAGGAGGAAACAAGATTGAAAGAACAAACTGGAACCTACAAAGCTAAGGTATTTGGATTTTATCTTAACAGCTTCAGATTGGTGATATGATCAGCTTACTTCTTTCAGGAAGATAATTGTACTAACAGTGAGGAGGAAAATGGAGTGAGATGACAGGAGGCAGAGAGATTAGCCAGAAGGCTACAGCAATAGGCAGATCAGAGACCTGAAGTCTCTGAATAAAGGCAGTGTCAGTGGCAGGGGAAGAGGGACCAGATTTGATGGGCATTTCATATAAGCAAGACTTGATTATCAATCACCACTTTGAGTGAAACTGTATTTTTCCCCCATTCAATGAACTCTTTCTGGGATATGTCAATAGTTCTGAAGTCATTGTAAATCATCCATATTAGAAGGAAAACAAAATCTTAAAACTTAAATAAAAGGTATTGAAATTTAATAATTTAGTTCTAAATTTGAGCTTACATCTGGAAACTCTGTATTAGGAGGGCATTTTTAAACATGCATTGCCACTTATAAAAATATTTCTCAGGGTGCCTGGGTGGCTCAGTCGGTTAAGCATCCAACTCTTGATTTCCGTTTAGGTCATGATCTCGGAGTCCTGGGATTGAGCCCCAGGTCAGCTCTGTGCCCAGCAGGGAGCCTGCTTGAGGATTCTCTCTCTCCTCTCCCTCTGCCCCTCACCTAGTTCTCTCTCTCTCTCTCAAATAAATCTTTAAAAAATATATTTCTGATAAGCTGAGGCTTACTGCAAAATGAATTCCTTCTTGAATGCTGCATTAGTTTATGGGAGCATTTTTCCAAGTTACTAAGTTTTCAAAAACTTGGAGAATTTTCACAGATTCTACAGTAAGGAAACATCATTTGGCAGAATTGCTGGCTACAACTCACCATTTGCAACTGAAAGAGCAGCAATCAGATTTACTCATTTTCTCCCTACGTTTTCATTACTTTCTCAGTAGTATTATTTTATGTCAGAGTTCACTAGAGTCAAAAATAATCCAGCTTGTTAAAATGTCTGTTCTCCGGGTGCCCGGATGGCTCAATAGGTTAAGCGTCTGCCTTCGGCTCAGGTCATGATCGAGCCTGCTATGGGATTGAGCCCTCTGCTCCCTGCTCAGTGGGAAGTCTGCTTCTCCTTCTCCCTCTGCCCCTCCACCCCACTTGTGCTCTCTCTCTCTCAAATAAATAAAATCTTATAAATAAATAAATAAAATATCTGTTCTCAAGTTTTTTGGTCAACTATAAAGATACAGAAAACACTTCGGCAATTAAAGAAGGTCATTTTCTTTATCCCACTTTTAAAGGGCAGCTAGAAATTATTGCAAATCCCGTCCCTTTTCTACTAAACTTAATTCAAGCTTGAGTCACCCAAGAGTCCAGAAGGGAAATTAAGAAGTTAAGTTAAGCAGTTGTACCAGCCATACGCTTTCCCCAACTGCCATGATCTCCCTATACCTAAAAGAATAATCAAAAAAACTTTCCAGTGATGGTTTCACCTTGTTTCCTCTCTACTGAGGTATGCAAAATGGATGTGAGATTGTTAGATTATGAAATAATTTTTAATTGTCAGGAGATAAAATCTCTGGAGGATGTGGCAGCCAGCTGCATATTTGGAAAGGAAAGTAACGTTTACCAATTATTGTAATAGTGTCTTCTAATTGATTTTTTTCCAGGTAACTGAATTTTGTACAGCAAAAACTCATAATACAGAAACTCCAAACCTACAAAACAAAATGCATAGTAGCAGAAGCACATGGGATATAGTTATGGACTCTGATGATTTTCAGAATGCATCTCCCATGAAAGGAACAGATCCACCACCTCATCCTATATTTTCATTGCTGAAGTCCAAAGAGCAAGTAGTCTGTTTGGTACTTGATAAATCTGGAAGCATGAGTTCGATAAGACATTTATTTGTTAGCTCTCTTAAATTAAGTAGTTAAGCTACTAGAAATATAATTTAATCTTAGGTTTAATTCTATTAAGCTACCTAAAATATAAATTTATTACTCTAATAACTTTTAGTACAATGATTCTATATGGACAAGTACTAAGAGATAATATACTAAAATAAAAATAATTGTTATATTAAGATGATTGGATGATGGATTATGTTTATTCTTTAACTTTTAGTTCTAACAAACTGGAAATACTATAACTGAACAAAAAAAATTTATCCATAATTCCACCATTGAGCATATGTCATTCCAGTCTTTTTTCTGTTTGTGTATTTGTTTTTCCTCCTCAAAAATGTGATTATATTTTGTATAATATTTTATAATATGACTTTTTTACTTACCAGACCTTAAACACTCCCTATGGAAAAAAACTATTTCATGATATAATTTTTAATGATTATATCATATGCACATACCATAATTTAGTCAGCCTCCTGTCATTGGACATTTTAGAGTTTTCAACTTGTTATAAAAATTATGCTGCAATGAACATTTTTGTATGCATTTTTAAATTATTTTCTTAGCAGAAATTCCTGAATATAAAACTGTTAAATAAAAAGGCATAGATTTTTAAAAAAATAAAATAAAATAAAAAGGCAGAGATTTTTAAGGCTTTACTAAGTATAACATGACTGATTTTTCCATTTTTTTAATATTATTTCTTTTAATAACAGTAACCAATACTATCAAGATCTCTGGCCCATGAACAACTTTGTCTTTCACCAATCTGTCAAGATTTGAGGAGACGCAGGAATTGTTCAGATATCTTTATCTTATCTCTTTTGAATGAACCAAGCAGCAGAACTAGCTTCTAATTATTGAAAAGGGATCTTTGGTTGCAGTGGTCACATTTGAACATTTTGCTACAACCCAAAACTACCTAACAGAAATAACTGGTAATAATGCTTATGAAAAGATCACTGCAAACCTGCCTCAAGAAGCTGGTGGTGGAACCTCAATTTGCAGTGGTCTCAGAGCAGGATTCCAGGTAAAATAAAAATACTTTTCTAAATATCATTTGCCATTTACCATTGCTTTTATTTTTACCCCACTATCTTTGAACAAGGGTCATGAGTTCATAGGTCCCTTATCTAAATGGTATATTTTTTAAAAGACTCCCCTACTGTCTGTTGCTTACAGCTGGGTAGCCTCTCTGAGTGTGGTTATTCCACCAATGTATTCTTGAGGTACTGAGTTGCATTGGTGAATGGTTAAGCAAGGGAAGAAAAATCCAGCGTGCACATCATCACTGCAATTTTCTTGAGGAGCTCACCATTTCTTTATCACTCCCACCGTCTGAACTACTATCAGTAAACAATAATGCTGTTGAGGGGGCTGTGGAAGAGGGAAACTATCACTGTTGCCAGGCTATAAAGAAAACCCGAGTTCATCAATTAAATTGACAGTTAAAAATCACAAGGATAGTTCCTCAAGCAGGATAGTACCAAACCCAAGACACACAGGTGGAAGTTTAATGAAATAAAAATTGTGAAATAAAATATTGAGAGCAACTTTTCAGCACTATATTAACCTGCCTTACGGTATGCATTTGAATTTCTTCCAACCTAAGATAGACTCTGTTTAAGCCTATTTATTGTCATTTTTTAAGTCACAAAAACAGAAAACTGCTTTCATTCACTGACCCTCCCATTGCTTCAGCTAAAAAAAAGTAGAGATTATTACACTTTTCCAGGCCACTAATTAATGCTATCTCTTAACTTTCTTGTGGAGTCTATTTTTTACAAAGCATATTGGTTCAAGGAGGCACACAGGCCTGGAGGATGTATGTGGCAGCCAAACCTGGGATCTCAGGCAAACCTGGGATCTGGCTCTATTATTTATTAGCTAAATGACCTTGGGTAAGTTATCAACTCAGAAAGTCTCAGTTTACTCAACTAAGGGAATGTGGAAAACAACAGTACCTATCGCATTTAATTATGAGAATTATGTAAGATAAACGCTCAAGAAAGGACTGCTATTATTATAATAAACATAATTCTTATATATGTCTATTCACTTCTAAAATATAATAGTATTATATCTTGGGAATGTGTCTTGATGTTTGAACATATTGATTTGTATGTTTTTCTTAATATATTTTGATATATATCTATGGATATTTTGACCACAGAGTTTATTGCTGAACAGATTATGTTAAGTCACATTCAAAGTTATAAATACCTCTTAATTACTTTTAAAATGAAACCATAGCAATATATAGTATTTTACTTACATAATCATCATAACAGCTAAAATTTATTGAGCATATACTACATTATTGCCTGTGTTAAATACATATTTGATCTTATTTATCCTTACCATTACTTTTTTAGTAAGGTATTATTACGCCCATTTTGCACATAAGGAAACTAAGGTTCAGAGTAATTAAATATCATTCTTAAGATCATATAGTTAGTAACTAGCAAATATAGGTAGGATTCAAAACCTGGTCTTTCTTATTCCAAAATCTAAAAAGCTAATCACTACACTGCGCTATTTACAGAACTTATATATGGTGGGGGTGAGGAACTAAACGCTAGATATTCTATTTAGCAAATAGCAGAGGTAGAATTTACTCTCAATTTGTCTGACTAAAGATTTTTAGCCAATACTCTTGATAGAAGTCAGGAAAAGACCAAAAAATTATAATACTTAATAAATTTACGAACATCCTATTTCTTACTTCATTGTTTTTTCCAGGAAATCCTCAGATTCTTCAATGATCAACTAAAATACATAAAAAGGCACATAATTTAACTTTGCATAGCTGCCTTTAGTCATGACTTTGCAAATGTTGTCTAGTACGCTGCCAAAACTGCCTGGGTCATTTGCCTCTACCTCAAGCATCTCCTGGAATAATAACAACTAACATTCACTTAGTACTTACTATTTGCTAGGCACTGTTCTAAGTGTTTTATTCTCCTCTTTTGGGTAGCTTGAATATATCTGAAAAGATTAGAAGCACTGCTAACACTCTGTCTTTGAAAACCCACAAGACCATTGTACATTACACTCATTTCTATGCCAACTCAGCCTGGAATGACAATGCAAAGTTTCCTTTTGCTTGCTCTGATGCCTAGGCCTAAAGACTTCTCCAAGACTAAAGAGTAGGTTTATTCTTATTTTAAATTTATTGAGATATGATATTCTGATTTTTCACTACCAGGCAATTATCCACAGTAACCAGAGTACTTCTGGTTCTGAAATCGTATTACTAACAGATGGGGAAGATGATCACATAAGCTCATGCTTTGAGGAGGTAAAGCAAAGTGCTGCAATCATCCACACCATTGCTGTGGGACGTTTTGCTGCCAAAAAACTGGAGACCCTGTCAAATATGACAGGCAAACCTTTGGACTATAGTTTGAATAGAAAATATATTTTCAGTCTCTCCCATTCCCAGGGCTCTTTCCCCTTAAACTACAACACTGCTCATAAAGTTTCTATCCTAAAATTTAATCTTTGTCCCTTCCTTGTCCTTGTCCTTCAAATTAATCTTTCCTCTTCCCTGACCCCACCTCTTTGCATTTCTACCTGTACCAGCTTCTTCTAATATTAGTCAATATTCTCTGTCTTCATTCATTTCTCACCACTTTCTACCAATACCACCAAATTGAAATTTCTTTCTCCATGGCTACTAATGACTTCCTCAATTGCAATTTCAAAATTGTTTTTCATATTTATCCTGTTCAATCCTAGTCAAGATTCAGATAGCCCTAATTCATAGAAGAAGAAATGGAAACCTACAGAGTACAAATGATTTGCCCAAGGCTGTAGTTAAAGTCCTGATTACCAGTTCTGGCCCCCAGCAATCCACAATCCATCCTTTTCCATTGCCTCTTTTTTTTTTTTTTTTTTTTTGAGAAAGAGAAAGAGAGCACGTGTGTGCATGTGAGTACAAGGCAGTGGGGGTAGAGAGAGAGGGAGAGAGAGAATCGTAAGCAGGCTCCATGCCCAGCGCAGAGCCCATGGAGCAGCTGGATCTCACGACACTGAGATCATGACCTGAGCCAAAATCAAGAGTCAGACACCTAACTGACTGAGCCACCCAGGTGTACCCATCCTTTTCCATTCCTTACTCCTGTATAATTTCTTTGTTAACTCCTATACTATTTATTTTCTCACTTAATTTTTACTTAATTCTAAACTGGTATTCTCTAAATTGTTTTGATATACCTTAGACACAACTAAAAATAAGCAGCTGGTTCAAAAAATTGTCTTAAATTTCATTCTTATAACAGTATTTAGTGATTAGATCAACTTTACTAATATGGCAGGCCCTTACATCTAATGCTTCATATAAAAACAATGATATTTGTCCAGTTCTTTAAGTTTTCTTCAAATTTATATTGTTAAGAGCACAAGAACAAGTAGATTTTCCCAATTAAAATTAGTATTATAAATACAATTCTATTTTAAGAGGACATCGTTTTTATGCCAATAAAGACATAAATGGCCTTATTGATGCTTTCAGTAGAATTTCATCTAGAAGTGGCAGCATCACTCAGCAGGGTATTCAGGTTGGAATCTCAGAAAAATTGTTTGCCTTTTCACATTTGTAATAAATTTCCATTATCCTAGTCATTTCTTTCTCTAATAAATAACTCTTTTGCCTGAAAATATTTCTCACTGAAAAACATTCTTCCTGAATTTGCTTTTCTGTGACACTTGTAGCCATCTTTCCTTCTGATTTGTTTATTATTTATAATTATAAATGTTTTTATTTGGGGTGCCTGGGTGGCTCAGTTGGTTAATCGACTGCCTTCGGCTCAGGTCATGATCCTGGAGTCCCAGGATCGAGTCCCGCATTGGGCTCCCTGCTCAGCAGGGAGTCTGCTTCTCCCTCTGACCCTCCCCGCTCTCATGTGCTCTCTCTCTCTCTCTCTCACTGTCTCTCAAATAAATAAATAAAATCTTTAAAAAAATAAAAATAAAAAATAAATAAATAAATGTTTTTATTTGCTAAATTCTTCAAAATCTTATTTCACTGAAATCTTAGACATAAATTTAGAATTACTCTAAACTGAAAAGGTTTGAAATTTTATTAATTATAATTACAAATTGGTTCTCTCTGTTCTTTATTTAGGTAACAGAAAGTAAAGCCTTGAGTATTACAGGAAGAGAATGGATAAATGGGATAAATGGTACAGTACCTGTGGATAGTACAATTGGAAATGACACTTTCTTTTTTGTCACATGGACAATACAAAAGCCAGAAATTCTTCTCCAAGATCCAAAAGGAACAAAATATGAACCCTCAGATTTCAAAGTAGATAAACTAAATATTCGGTCTGCCTGTCTTCGAATACCAGGTATTGCAGAGGTAAGAACATTCTTTTATTTTCTCCATGATTTATCAATCAACTTCAAGGGAAAAAAATGAAGATAACATCTACTACACTGTCAATATTAAAGAAGCAACAGATCCTCTGTCACAAAAAAGAAACCAAGAGGTGCCTGAGTGGTGTCTTGGTTTCAGCTCAGGTCTTGATTTCGGGATCCTGAGATTGAGCCCTGTGTCAGGCTCTGTGCTCAGCGTCAAGTCTGTTTACGACTCGGCAGCTGCCCGTGAGGGCCCTGCCTGCTTGCTCTCTGAACAGAACAGAGCTCCTCCACGGCCTGAACATAATAAGCAGTGAGCATGGAGGGCTGACCCGGACCAGACCGAGTGCTCTCAGTGGTGCCCAGGGACTGACTTCGCTTATGGTTCGTTAACTTACCTTTATGGTATCTTGTTTGTTGTGAGACTTTGTATTATATCACATCTTGTGTGACGTGTATGAAGCCCTGTTAAACGCATAGTGAAATGTCATTGAGTTTGGAATCCTGAACCTGCTTTACAATCATGTTAACCTTGCTTTATGATCGAATAAACACAACCATGTTTAGACACAACTTGTGGAAAGACACAACTCGTGTACGGGCCTTTATAGTGTGCTCGCAAAAGCTGGCTTAGTCCGCAGGATTCCATGTCACTGACTCACTACGTGCTTTTAGAAAATTTGGAAGAATTGGGGGGAAAAAAAAACACAAAACCCTCCTTGAGTCTTGATGGAATTGACTACAGCAGAATTAAAAACAATAAGGTGGGGGATAAATTTGTGTGAATAAAAAAAAAAAAGACTCTCTCTCCCTCTGCCCCTCCCCGCACCACCACCCGACCCCACCCCCTCTCTCACTCTCATTCTCTCTCAAAATAAATAAATTAAAAAAAAAGCCAAGTAGAATAGAGATTTGTATCCATATTGTTTACTAGCTTGTAAAATTGAATATTAAAAATCATTACTGTTACTCTGCTTAAATTTCTAAATAATTTTGTATTCCAAACAAGAATAGGAAAGTATTACAAAAACTCTCAAATAGATATGTTGGATTTTCAGACAGACACTTCGCCTTCTAAATAAACATGCCAACTCTCAGATGCTAACGGTGACAATGACTACTTGAGCAAAAGTCCTACCACACTCCCAGTAATTGCAACTGCTCACATGAGCCAAAGTACAACACATTACCCTAGCCCAATGATTGTTTACGCACAAGTCAGTCAAGGGTTTTTGCCTGTTCTGGGAATCAACATAACAGCCACTATAGAAACCGAAGATGAATATCAAATAATAATGGAGATCTGGGACAATGGTGCAGGTAATAAGAATCTGCATCAACTTCCACTGAACCTAAAATCCTACTAACAGTTACATAACTTAGAAATCAATATTTCCTACATATGGGAATGAATCAACTTTTAAGTAAATCAAATTTGATTTTTATGGTTTTTATATTTTTTACTCTTCTATCTTGACTACACATAGATATGAGCACATTTATCTTTAAATTTTATGAACAATTTTACTTTCTTCATGGAAATTGAGTATAATTTTTCTCTATTTTCATTAGTGTCAGTGTTTTGCATATGTTTCTGCCAATTTAATTATATTTTCTTTATTTTGTTAGGATTCCTATATGAAATAATAATAGCTAATATTATTTGAATATTTACCATGAATTACTTTTCCAAGGTCAAAGGTTAGCAAGTAGCCAGGCCAGGCTCTGAACCCAAGCAGTCTGATTCCGGGGTTCAAGTACTTAAACCACTGTGCTATACTCACTCCCAAAATGATTGCCAACACTAGTGCTCATGAACAGTGCTTAGGACTGTCATTGTTACTCTTGAATGACTAATTATTATATTATAATATGCAGGTGCTGATACTGTGAAGAATGATGGCGTCTACTCAAGATATTTTACAGAATACCATGGAAAGGGGCGCCTGAGTGGCTCAGTCGGTTAAGCGTCTGCCTTTGGCTCAGGTCATGATCCTGGGGTCCTGGGATCGAGCCCCACATCGGGCTCCCTGCTCAGCAGGAGGCCTGCTTCTCCCTCTGCCTCTCCCCCTGCTCATGCTCTCTCTCGCTATCTCTGTCTCTAATAAATAAATAAAATCTTTAAAAAAAAAAAAAAAGAATACCATGGAAATGGTAGATACAGTTTAAAAGTATATGCCCAGGTGAGAAACAACATGGCTAGACTAAGTTTAAGACAACAACAGAACAAAGCTCTATATACCAGGCTACGCTGAAAATGGTAAGTGACATTAAGATAGAAATGTGTCATCTGGGGATGCCTGGGTGGCTCAGTCAGTTAAGCGGCTGCCTTCGGCTCAGGTCATGATCCTGGAGTCCTGGGATCGAGTCCCGCATCGGGCTCCCTGCTCCGCAGGAAGCCTGCTTCTCCTCTGCCTGCTGCTCTCCAGCTTGTGCTCTCTCTCTCTCTGACAAATAAATCTTTAAAAAAAAAAGAAAGAAATGTGTCATCTGTTTAGATAAGTTACAAGTGGTTAAGCACTGAAAATATTATGTACTATAGAAAACATAAGTATACAGTTATATAATTATCTCTGTATTTCAAAGTCATATTTATATTAAAAGACCTAATACAGGACTATCCTTCCAACATGTTTTGTTTACATCTCCCCTCAGTTCATTTCATTTACATTAAAAAAAATTACTGGGGTGCCTGGGTGGCTCAGTCGATTAAGCCTCTGCCTTCAGCTCAGGTCATGGGTCCTGGGATCAAGCCCTACATCCGGCTCCCTGCTCCACGGGGAGCCTACTTCTCCCTCTCCCTCTGCCTGCCACTCCCCCTGCTCGTGTGCTCTCTCTGTCAAATGAATAAATAAAATCTTAAAAAAAAAATTACTGAGCACCTTCCTATGTGGCAGGCATTGTGCTAGATGCTGTAGCTAAAAAGATAAATAAGATACCATCCTTGTCCTCAAAGAATTTACAGTTAAGTAATAAAGACAGATATGTTAAGAGATAGTTCTAACATTGCATAATGTCTCATCAATTTTAAAATGACACCAATAAAACAAGCTTTTTTTCACTAAAAGCTGTTACTTTTTCAATGTCTACAATCAATATTAACCCTTCAATAGCTGCAAAATGAAATTACAAGATAAAGAATAGACATAACATTATGAAAATTTCCACAAAATTACTTTCTTTGTAGGTAAAATTATACTGAACCTACCCAGGGCCTGAAGTCAAAGATACACAACATGTCAGAAGCTAAAGATACACAACGTGTCAGAAGACTTCAGCCAACTAACCTCTGGAAGGTCATTTACTGTATCAGGAGCTCCTCCTGCTGGTAGTCATACTCATGTGTTCCCACCTGGCTAAATCACAGACCTTGAGGCTAAGGTTAAAGATCACATTCAACTTTCATGGACTGCCCCTGGCAATGTCCTTGATAAAGGAAAAGGTAAGTTTCATATTATGTTTTAAAATATATAAAAGAAATCCCTTTGGCTTTCATTTGCTAGGAATTGTCTAATGTCCTACTTATAAATGACACTACTTATAAATAATTTGGCCATGGAGTCTGAATAAAGTTCAAGGCTGAAATATCTCATTCGTTCGAAGTTCCTTATAATAAATTGTCCTCATTCTAGAAAGTTGAGTCACTTTTATCTATACTTTAAACTGAATTTAACTAGTATTTATTGAATGCCTATCATATTCCAATATTGTACTAGACTAGTAGATTCTTTTGCGATAAAGCCAATCTTGCTATTTTCCCTTAAAGGTGGGAAAATGAAAGCAATATACAGTATCTATATATAAAATTTCTCAGGGGTTGTCAGAGCTGAAAAGCCCCATGTTCAGTATTCTTTCTCCTGGGTTACAAAAAACCTCTCACTGTATACTCTCAAAACAAAAGATGCTTTTTAATCTTTCATTTCCTATATAGCATTTTTCAAAGCTGTATTTCTTTTTATCATATTATATAAGGAAAAAATCATTCTAAAACCAAAGAAAACAGAATACCCACAAAGAGCTCTTTTGCTCGTCAATGTTGAAAACTCTTATCATGACAACTTTTGAAATACATTATTTTTTCATGCTATGATCCATACAGATACAGCAGGAAAAAAAAAAAAAAAAAAAAACCCTCCACTGAAAAAGCCACAGATAAAATTACCTGACCAAATGTTTAATTCTGAATTCAATTCAGTCAAGATGGTACCTTTAGTTCAAGATTGGGTTTATAATAAATGCCCTCATGCTGATTGTAGGAACCAAAAGAAGAAGAAAGATTGCATTATATCTGGACTCTGGGAGAGAAGAACTTCACTATGTTTAACCATAAATGCCTAAAATTTGGTGGAATTTAATCTCTCTTTCCTTGTGTCAAGTAAGAAGAGGTTGTAGTTGCTATCAAATGTTACCATCAAGCATTACAAAAGAAGGTAGTAGCAGCATCTCCAAGAATAAATGAATATCTATATAATATCCAATGAAGTTCTTAAATTCTCAGGGACCCAATTACCATACCTGTCAAATATAAGAATTACTAGGTGACCTAGTATTAAAGTATTAAACAAGTATATATAATTCTATATTCTAATATTTTATAATTCTATAATTCTATCAGTTGGGGCATCAACTTAATACCTATATTGTTGGTCAATAAGTAAAGAGGTCAAATACAAACCCAACACAGTGCCAGATACTCTAGTTGACACAAAAGGAATATAAGACATACCATTCATCCTAAGACAAAGAATATGATCTAATTGGAAAGATAAATTGAACCTCCATAAAATAATCTAGAAAACTCCATTCCATGCAATAGGAGTTCGTGGCAGAGAGTCATCAGGGTGGATAAAATATGTAAACAAGTCTTCATGAAGATGTGGGACTTCCTGTTGGGCCTTGAAGAATAAGTACAATCTGCATAAATAGGGAGAGGGAGGCACATACAGGGAGTCAGACAGGGAGAGAAGGAACCAAATAATATGATCAAGGTCAAAAAAGCAAAATTTCACAATAAAATATCTAAATTAAAATAAAAGCTAGATGATAGATAGATAGATAGAACTACCTAAATGGAATGCAGGGTGTGTGTGAAGAGTAGTAAAACGGATTGATAAGGCCTATTATTAAGAAACTAGAAGGTTAAGGCAGAGGGTCAGAATTTTTTTTAAAACCACTAAATCGAAGTTATTCACCACACTTAAAACACTTTCAACATTTCATGAAAAAATAGTCTTCACTTCAAAAAAAGACATTTGATGTTTTATTCACGGCATTTCAGAATGTGAGAATATATTTTTATATTGATAGCTCTGGTAGATCTCTAAAAGAATTTTTTTTTTTAAAGATTTTATTTATTTATTTGAGAGAGAGAGAATGAGAGATAGAGAGCACGAGAGGGAAGAGGGTCAGAGGGAGAAGCAGACTCCCTGCCGAGCAGGGAGCCCGACGCGGGACTCGATCCCAGGACTCCAGGATCATGACCTGAGCCGAAGGCAGTCGCTTAACCAACTGAGCCACCAGGCGCCCCGACTCTAAAAGAATTTTGGAATAAAAAAATTATGTCAGCATCTTCCTTTCTTTTCTTGACAAAGTAACAGTTATAATAATAACTAATATTTCAAACATTTAGGTCCCATTCTGCTAAACACTTTCATGCATTATCATATATAATTGTCACCACTCAAGCAGTAGGCATTCAATAAATATTTGTTGAATGAATTGAATGACTGAATCTCCATTTTATAGATAAGAAAACTGAAGGTAAAAAAGGTCAAATATATTTTTCTTTGTTACACAGCCAGAAAGTGTAGAATTAAGGTACTAATCAAAGTCTGCCTAAGCTCCTAAGCACATTTTAATTAGTACACATCCTAGGCTCTCTGCTTCCTTCTCCCTTTATCCTTATCCCTGTCTCCCACTCTACTGATCTCCCGCTCCTCTCTCCTATTACTCCCTCTCAGCTTAATGAGAAATAATACAGTTGTGGGGTACTGAATGTCTTTCCTATACTTGAATGTTATTATGTTCCTTGTTCTAAAAGTAGATTCAGATCTTTAGATTTCTATTTCTTTTAAAAAAATCTAGATTTCAGGGCGACTGCCTTTGGCTCAGGTCATGATCCTGGAGTCCCGGGATCGAGTCCCACTTCACACTCCCTGCTGAGCAGGGAGTCTGCTTCTCCCTCTGACCCTCCCCCTCTCGTGCTCGCTCTCTCTCTCATTCTCTCTCTCAAATAAATAAAATCTTTTTTAAAATATCTAGATGTCATTCTTTAGTACTATAAGATTTTGAATTAATTTTTTGGTTAGATAACTAGATTAAAAACCGCTCACATATTTGTTCTTAAAAGAATGAAGATGGAATAACCATATAAAACCTACATCTATGATTTCCATGTCCAAATCCTAGTGTACATTTCTGATGGGCCCCTAAGTGTAAGAAAATATGGTGGCAATAAGGCATCCTAGTGACTTTAATATATATGAAGTATCTATTGTTTTTCAGCCAACGGCTACATTATAAGAATAAGTGCTTCCTGGATCTCCGAGAAGATTTTGACAATGCTGCTTTAGTGAACACTACTAGTCTGATACCTAAGGAGGCTGGCTCAATAGAAAATTTTGAATTTAAACCAGAACCTTTTAAAACAGAAAATGGCACCAAATTCTATATTGCAATTCAAGCCATCCATGAAGCTAATCTCACCTCAGAGGTTTCTAACATTGCACAAGCAACCAAGTTTATTCCTCCGCAGGAATCCAGTGTCTCTGCTCTGGGTACCAACATTTTTACAACCAGTTTGGCAATTTTGGGATTAGCTGTGATTTTATCTATATTTTAAACTAGGAAGTGTATTAGAAATAATATTCAATATGTACATACTTAATTAACATTTATTTAGAATTTAACTTGTTATACTTGTCTATAACAAAATTCTTTGTAAATGTACAAAGTTGTAAATTTCCTAACTACTTGAGTTCATTAATACTAATTAATAAACTAATTAGTTGCATTAATACTAATTAATAAACTAATCAGTTGCTAAATTAGTTGCTAAAATGTAAATCAAAATGAATATACTATTTCCTATCTTTGAAAAATCCATTTATTAACTCAATAAAAAAAGAAAATGCATATTTGTACTTGAAGGTATTTCAAGAAACATTTTCAGAGTGTGCTACAAATTCATTTGGTATATTAACAAAATCAGAATTCAGCCAAGCCATTTGAAAAATATTTATATATCCACAACAAACATAATTTTATGGTAGAATTATTTAGATTTCATTCTTGCTTATGAATGAATACTTCATGTTTATATAAACTATAATCAAAATGGACAATAAAGATAATTTTTCAACGAGAAAGGTCTAAAACAGTAAGGATGTCAAATTTGTTTTTTATTATTGATTAATACAGTGGTATACCAAAGTTTTGACCCTAAGTATGAAATGACTATTAGATAGCAAGAATGGTTTTTTTAATGTATTGCAAAACATCACAATAAAGTCCTATTTATATTCTGAGACATTATAAGGTCCTAAGAGTATCATCACCATGATGCCCCATCAGGGCAGGGCTTTTTTTTTTTTTTCCATTGCTGTATCCTCAGCTTCTAGAATAGTACTTGACACACAGTGGATATCCAATAGATATTTATTAAACAAATTAATGAATGTAGGGGAGTGGGAGGGATGGGCAAAATGGGTAGAGGGGAGTGGGAGGTATAGGCTTCCAGGTATGGAGTAAAGTCACAGGAATAAAAAGCACAGCATAGAGGGAAAAAAAGAAAAAAATCAATAAATATTTTCATGCCTTTAAAGAAATCCAAACTGGGCCTGTGACATCAAGAATATCCACAAAGTATGATGTGCACATGGTATTGTGAGGCCTTGATATAATGAAAACTAACCACTTAATAATGGTGATCTGAATCAACACATAGCCTTTCAGAAACTTAACTGTATTATGTCAATCAAATTTGTAACTCTCTAATAAAATGTAAATTCAGCTATTAATATAGCAATAGTGTGATTTTTTTTCTAAGAAAGACAAAGAGTGACTGTTATGTTAGAAGAAAATCCTTTGTTTATAGGCAGAAAGGTTTTTAAAACTCTTTCTGTCTGAAAGGAGGAAGCATTTTGATATATGTGGAAAAGTCAGGGGAAAAAAACCACAAAACATTAGCAAACCAAATCCAGAAGAATATATAAAAAATAATAATATATAATAAAAATAAATAAAATGAATTTAAATTTTTTTTTAAAAATAATGTGTTATAACCAAGTTGAATTTATACCAAGAATCCAAAGGTGGTTTAATATTAGAAAATTAACACAATTCATCACATTAATATATTAAAAAGAAAAATTATCATCTTGATACATGCATAAAAGTATATTACAATTCAACCATTCTTCATTAAAAATGAAACCTTTGAAACTTTACTAACCTGATACTGTGAACCTTAATGTCTAAATCCTGATCATTTAAATATAAAAAGAGGCATTACATCTTCAAGTATAGATATGAAATTAGACACCAGAGAGGGAAAATTCTAAATTCCTCAGAAAATAAATCACTTAAGAGTCCATAAATCATTAAAAAATTATTGTTAACTATGAAAGTCTCAAAGGGTCAGAAGATAACTTGTTCTTATCTATATGGCCACTATACTAAGAAAGACTCATAGAACTTTAGTAGTCACTTAGGAAAGATTCCTATGCAGAAAGAAAAAAAAACCAGAACAGAAAATACAATAATTGGAAAGAAACATATATAAAACTGTAATTATTTGTAGGTGGCACAGAAAATCTAATAGGATTAACAAATAATTAAAACTAGTAGGAAAGTTCTGCAAAGTTACCAGACATAAGGTCAATTTATAAAAATCAACAGCACTGGTCTCACATGTAAAGAGCTTAGGGGTTATCATCCCATCCTCACAACAAGAAAAAAGCTAAATAACTGAAAATCAACAATTTTTTTTAGAGCCATCGGAAAAGTAAGGTCACACCACAACTACTTTCCAGATAGTGTTAGGAAAACTAGCTCAATACATGGCATGTATAGGAACAGCTGCAAATGAATAACAAAAAGACAGGAAACCTCAATAGAAAAATAGGCAGAGGACATAAGTAGGCAAATCATTTAAAGAAAGTTCAATGACAAATAAGTGTAGCAATCAGAGAAATGCAGTAGAATCAGAGAAATACCAACTGTAACAATATTGAGAGACACCTTAACATCCATCAGATTAATAAATATTAAAAATCAGATAACACCAGTTGTAGGTAAGAAAGTAAGGAAATAAGATTTCTCATCCTCTACGAAGGAATGTAACTGAAGCAGTATTATGGAAAATAATTTGATGGTACTTAATGAATTCCATATACACATTATCCCATGTTCCAACAATCACACACCTGGGTATAAACATCAAAAAAAGTAGCACACAAATCAAAAGGCAGCTTACATGAGGATATTTACCACAGTATTATTTTGTGGTTACAGAAAGTTGAAAGTTACTTTAGGTGTCCATCCCTAGAAAAATAGATAAATACATGCAATGGATACAGAACCTGAAATACTATACTACACTTAGATATAATATAGTAGATGCATACACAGCAACAAAATAGATCTTAAACATGTAGAGTGAAAAGAGTCAAAACAAAGTACAATCTATAAGACAATACCATTTTTATAAATTAACACAAAGATGTACACAAAAAATAACATTTTATTTTATCAGGATATATTATAAACACCTTAAAGCAAAAGGCTTTCAGAGTAAGAGAAATGGAATAGGGTTGTGGATAGTGAAATAAAAATAAGTAAAATGATACAATGGAGGAGCCATCCACCAATGATGATAGGGTATCCTCAATTAAGGAGAATTATTAATTGAATTCTATGCTTGAGTTCCAAAAGAAATGAAGAAACTAATAATAATAAAAAAGTAAAGCTCATAATAATAAAAAACAAACCCTATCAAAGCAACTCACCATATTAATGGATTAAAGGAAGAAAAATTCTGACTATCTCCATAGATGCAGAAAAGGCATTTGATATATTCCACCACCTCTTCATGATTTTTAAAAAAGAAAAACTTGGAGACTCGCAGACTGGTAGCGGTGCAGAAAGGACTTTAGTGCAGCCCCCAGACAGAATCCAGAAGCTGCGGGTGCATGATGGGAACTGGGGCGGCTTGTGGTTTTAAAAGCACAAAGGGCAGAGACATGCTCCAGCCCTGGGATCGACCTCTGGGAGAATTGCTGTGGGCCCGCATTACCGTGGGAGGCTACGGTTTTTAGCAGCACAGACAGAAACAAAGACTGTGTGTCCTGGAGAGCTCAGTGAAGAGCAGACTAAGATTTCTCTGCTCTGGGTCAGAGGTTTGGGTGCAGTCATTTCTGTTCTGATTCTTAGAAGAGACGGAAGAGACGCAGAAAGCTGCCAGAGAACAAAAGCTCAAAAAGCTGGTTTCCACTGAGCCCACCCAGCCCCCCAACAGGGGGCAGGGCAACTCTGCCCAAGCAGGGTTGCATGAGTAACAGCACGGCAGGCCCCTCCCCCAGAAGACAGGCTGGAAGAACAAGAGGACGACAACTCTAGGGTCCCTATAAAGACAGGTGCATCTTGCTTGGGTCGTGGTTAATACTTTGACTCTGTACATTCCCTCAACCACCCCTCAACAGAATGACTAAGAGGAGGAACCCCCAACAAAGAAAAGAATCAGAGACTATGACCTCTGCCACAGACCTAATGGATATGGATATAAGCAAGATGTCAGAGATAAACTTCAGAGTAGCAATCATGAAGTTGATATCTCGGCTTCAGAAAAATATTAGTGATAATATAAAATCTCTAAGGGCAAAAATGAGATCTAATCAGGCCAAACTTAAAAATGCTATGAATGAGATAAAGTTTAAACTGGATACCCTGACAGCCAGGGCAAATGAGGCAGAAGAATGAATTAGTGGGCTAGAAGATAAGATGATAGAAAAGAAGGAAGCTGAGGAGGCTTGGGATAAACAGCTAAAAACCCAAGAGATCAGACTGAGAGAGATTAATGATGCCATGAAACGTTTCAATGTCAGAATTATTGGGATCCCTGAGTGGGTGGAGAGAGAGGACTAGAAGATACATTGAGCAAACTGTAGCTGAGAGGTTCCCTAATCTGAGAAAGGAAACAAGCATTCGTGTCCAAGAGGCAGAGAGGACCCCTCCCAAGATCCATGAGAACAGACCAATGCCCCGACATATAATAGTAAAACTTGCAAACCTTAGAACCAAGGAAGCAATCCTGAAAGCAGCTAGGGGGAAGAGATTTCTTACATACAGGGGGAGGAACATCAGAATAATGTCAGACCTGTCCACAGAGACCTGGCAAGCCAGAAAGGGCTGGCAAGACATATTCAGGGTACTAAATGAGAAGAACATGCAGCCAAGGATACTTTACCCACAAGGCTATCATAAAGAATGGATGGAGAGATGAGGGGCTTCCAGGACCGGCAGAAACTGAAAGAATATGTGACCACCAAGCTGGTCCTGCAAGAAATATTAAGGGGGATTCTATAAAAGAAGAAAAACCCCAACAGTAATATAGACCAGAAATTTAGAGAGACATTCTATAGAAACAGGGACTTCACAGGCAACATGATGGCACTAAAATCAGTCACTCTCAACGTGAACAGCTAAACACTCCCATGAAACAGCACAGGATTGCAGACTGGATAAAAAGACATGACCCATCCATATGCTGCCCAAAAGAGACTCATTTTGAACCTAAAGATACATCCAGACTGAAAGTGAGGTGATGGAGAACCATTTTTCATG